GTCGGCGGTCATTGAAACACTCGCAATTTGGTAGCCGTCGACCGTCTGACGTCTTGATGGCTACAACCGTAATTCGGGGCCATAGGATTGGATGGAATGAATAGCAAATGTGGATTGCACCTGTTCGTCGCACTCTTTATCGATGAACACATGGCAGATGCCTTCAGAATGACCCAATACGGGTATGCCCTTCGATAAAGTTTGCATACTCTTGACAAGCTCGGATGAACCGCGTGGAATGACCAGGTCGATGAGTTTATCCAGCTGCAGCAGATCTGCCACATCTTCACGAGATCTTATCAGTGTTATCGCATCACGCATATCATATCCATGCGTGCCAAGTGCTTCCTAAAATGTTACATCATTCTCTTCGAACAGTCATCTTTCTTTTCAAATTGGATTGAAGTTTATGATAAGGTTTTCACCGAATTTTTGTGATCACTTTTTTGGTCATTTTTCTGTTTTCATGACGCCTTCGAAGTTTCGGTATCCGAACAAAAAATTGAGTGAATCAGCTGTAGAAAAATGATGAGGTTTGTTGAGGTTAGGAGGGCGAGGGACCGACCTGAACAACGGAATGTAACATTTTATTGCTTTCATCAGCCTCTCTGCCACCTTTTAGAAGTAACGAATTTCCAGAAGCGATCGACAGTGCTGCCACCTTCAATATGAGAACAATGCAATTGCGATTTAATTAGTCACTCCAAAAGTGAGTTTACATATATCTGTTTTGGATGAATGATTCGGATGAATTAAGTAGATTCACAGTTGTTCATTTTCAAAATTTGGCCCATCTGTTATTATTATTATTATTATTATCACCATTACCTGTGGTAAACAGTCAGGCCTTGATTCGAATATGACCAGGAGTGTACCAATCGGCACTGAGATTTGTTCCAGCACCAAATTTTCAGCAATTTTCACTTTACGTCTTACTTGGCCAATGAGTGTTTCGGCCGAATCAGCGATCATATGTAGTCCACTATATAAATCGGCCATTTTAGCTTTCGTTAACTTTAAGCGTCCCAACATCGAGTCTTCGAGGCCTAAAATTGCTGTTTTTAAGCAAGAAAATTTCTAGCTTGTAACATTTACGGAAATTTAATGTAGACATTTTTTACCATTGGCTTCAGCGGTGCGCATATCAAGACGATTCGCGTCCAAAATATCTTTCTCACGTTTCTCTAAAAGCTCGGCCATATGACGCACCGTTTGAGCTCGTTCATGGTTACTCAGCTGTTGAAGTAGACGTCCACTCTCACGACCTGATAATAGAAATAATAATAATAATAGTTGTTGTTTCTGAATAATGATCGTGTAACGCGTAGATGTTACACGTAGAAGAAAAGTTGATGAAAAGCATCGTACATTTTGAAGCGACTTCTTCAATCGGTGGTCCTTCGTAACGTGA